TTCTTGCCATGCTTATTTCAACAAATCCATTTGCCATTCGTGTCTAGTAAAACAATAGCATATGCACATGTTGACTTTGTTATTTTTCGAGGTTTGCATTCCCTCATCTTATGACGTTATTGCATCACATATCGAATCTTACAAGCGGAGAGTTCATGAAAGGCTGCATAACCCACCTTACCACGATTGGAAAGCCAGAAAAGCAGTTTACTAAGGCTGCATCATGTGACTTCTTTGTACCCAGACCGACACAATGCCCCTCTCACTTGTCACGAAGAAACTGAGAAAACTTCCCACCCGACAAGAGATAAATAACATCGCAAGTAAGTACCATAGTAACGTTTAATACTTGCTGAAAGGTCCACTGGGCCCCTTTATTATTTGCATTTCCGGAGTATAGGAAGCATCTGAACCCATTTGTCCGCATAATGGGATACCAACTGATTGCTGAGATTGATGTACAGAGTGTCCTATTTGAGATTTCGTCGATTTTGTAAACTAATATCTGATCTGAAAGGCACAATTCCATTTGCATTTTTCAAACGTTGACCGATTGAGTCGATTTGATGAACAACTTAACTGTCTATCGATCTATCCAATGAAGACAAACGCGATAACAGATAATGTTTACTTGGCGGCACTCAGTCGGACCAGTCCATGCACAATCTAGACTTAGCCGGTTGACCACTTATCATGAAAAATAAGTATTTACAGATAAAGTCACAAACGTATGTTCCTTGTCTCCCACACGGGACTTCTTTCACCGTCTGGGGAATCAGAGCAGATGTTCCGATCCGATATCACGACCCCTGAAACATGCGAATTTTATCAATATAACGTTCGCAGTGTTAAGCAACCATTACTGAGCACCAATCTGAACAATTTACTTACAGATAAATATGAACGATACATTGTAAGCTGAGTTCATAATGTTGTAGTTTCAAGAGGTAGAGTGCACCATTTTACTTGTTCCACCTGAATGGTCGCATTTGATGGCTGAATTAACTTGACTGGGCAATTTTGTTCAATCCCATTGTGCACTGGGCGGTGGTAATAATATGCACATATATAATAAAAGGAAACCGTATTCACAATCTGATGAGTATGCTCTATTAATGAGAATTTGTTTCTTGTGCTTTCTGAGTGTCCATTGCTTATCGGATAAACTAGTTGGTTGTGCTTGGTTATCGAACCTAAATGTTGACGCGCCAATGCCCCAATATTCACTCACGCATTGAACTCAGTTGAGCAACTTTATTCCCATCAAATTCTGATATGATCGATTTAGTTTGACAAGCTTAAGCTTCCGTTTTCGTATCGAGTAAAAGCAACAGAAAGCAATCCTTCTGTTCCAAATGTTCGAACGTTACAGAAATTAAAATGATAGACTAAAGTGAATGTCTGTCATTAGGAGCAACTGTTTTCTAATGTCACTGATTGGATTACGTTGTCCAAAAAGTGGGTACACTGTATATGCCCAACGTTGAATACATCACATATGTAGCTGATATCGATCTTTTCCCACGTTCATCTAAACAGATTGTCCGGAAAATCTTTTCACTGAAAGGGGAAATCAAGCGAGCATGTTGAGTGTGAATTTCATTGACTCTCGTACTATTTCACTCTGCATTGATATTAGCAGAAAATTGATGGAAATAAAATATGCGGGTTGAGATCACGCACAGAGTAGAAGACACTAAATCGAAAATCACAATCAATTATGAGGGTCGTTTAGCCTATCGAATTAAGAAGTTGTTTTATCCCTACGCTTCGATACGATCCCGCATTGGTCAGTGCTGTGAATCTCTATAAGTCCTGCAGTAACAGTAGTATAACTGGTGGTGGTAGTAGTAGTGGTGTTATAATTCCAGAAGACCGGTGCATGGCTTGAGGAGAGCTTGTTCGCTACTTTGTGTTTTCTCACAATGGGTATTGATGGTATATCCGGACAATTGAGGAGAACTGCTTATTACAAACCGCAGTTAGGGTATGGATAAGTTAGCGTAAGATGTCTCATTTGGAACATGTTATCGCAACTTCTGACAGCACACTCAGGATAATGACTGGATCAGTCCGTAGTTGTCATTTTGCATTCAGCTATTCACTCTATGAAGTTGAAACGTATCAGTAACCTGATCATCTCGCGCACTACTCACGTATGTGAGTAGTATCTCACAACAGTGGTAGCAATTGTTGTCATTTTTGATCGATGTGAAAATGAATAATCATACATTCTTATGGGAGGCGATCACCAAATCAGTCTCTATCAATCAATTATTTAATGTGCTCAAACTACTTACGTCATCATAACAACGAACAGCAGTTTGTGTGCGCTTAGTTCCGTCAGCAAATAACATCTTCTCAACATTTGTATATCTACGCGAGGAGCGTATGATTGGCCGTAATGTTCCAGAAGAATAAATATAAAATAAAGCCTGCAAAATACGATGAAATAAAAATATACTCATTTACGTTTTCTCGGCTCATCACTTTGCTGATGTTTTCATGCAATCACGGGGCACGTTGTTGGGAAGCTTGAACAAATTTACCTAGGCTTAGATTTATTCCATCGGGGTCTAATGGATCAATTTGGGGCTACTACCATGGCAGTCAGTTTGTCTACCAACCTGTGTTCAAATACCAGGGAAGACTGTGTGAGTGACCAAAGGTGAAAAGATTGCCAGAGCAAAGTGCCTCGGTGCAGAGGGAGCGTGAACTGAACAGAGGATTCGGCGTACTGATGAGAGTTGATGGCACACTTTAGGGATGCTCTTCAACTGTCAAATCTTTGTAATTTATCTATAAGATTTTCAGTTTCAGTTTCTGAAAATTTCAAAACCAATTTTGAGAATTCAATTTCCCATAACTCTGTGTAAGCCAAATGTGTAAAAAAGTAGTGATGAACTCTCTGATGCAGTTCTCACTGACCGAGATGATCCATGTGTTTTACGAAAAATTCTTCAGTTTTGTGATTGAAGTGGAGCTGTGAAAGTACATATTTCCGTATGATATTTCTGTGACTAAATTGCCTAGTCTATCTCTCGTTCAGTGTTTTAAGCCAGATCGATCAATACATTTCTCAAATTATAGATTAGCACTTGTATTTATTGAGTTTGTGTTTAATTCAATTTGATTTGATACTTGAATACAGATTTAACTAAGTACTGAATGAAAACAATTTTAGGCTAGATGTCCATTTTGGTAGACAGCATAAGAACAGCAAGTTTGTGAACCACTGAAAATAGAAAAACTGAAGATAATTTCACTGACTTGGATCGTTGCAGGCGATTTCGGACCACGCTGCAAGCACTCAATCCGGGATATAGTTGAAAAGTTGAAAAACTGGGCTGTTTCTTTGGACTAGCAGAACTAAAATGGTAACGTCGAAAAAGTCGGAATGACGAACTGTTTTGATGTTAGAATAGCACACTGGAAGTTACGCAATGTTTGCTGACTTGGAAGTGGGCTTCAGTTTTTCAACAATAATTTATTTTTATTCTGAATGAACACGCTCTAGCTTTCCATTGATTTTTTTTATTCAGACAACTGATATGAAACGTAGTTATATAAGACGAGTATGTTGTATTCAGTGAACTATCCGCTGGAGATTCATTCCCTTCTGAGTACATTTTTCAGATGAGAAATATTATTGCATAATCACATGACCCTTTAAACCCGCTGGGCGGCATCGGAAGTCAAGCAGTACAAGTTACCAATAGGTAGTGCATCCGTAGATATATGGTGAATAGTTGAGGCAGATGAGGGACCCCGTCTTGCAACTGGGTCATTTTCCCGGACATTGTTTGTTTGCGCCCTTCTGGTCCCCCGGAAATTCTGTGTTCATCAGTCGTTCATCAAAGTGAGAGTGGAGATTAATTTTTCTCTAATTACATTCTCATTATACTGACTGCGATTAGAGTTAGGTAGTTTTGTTTCCAATTTGCACTCAACGAAGGTGAAGTGGAAACTGTTGAAAAGAACAGGATAGGCAAATGATAATTACGACTACTTTTCTCTCCATCCTTAGGAAATGAGACTAACCGCCTGATTCGTTAGAACTTTTATCTTCTAAATATTTTTTGATTGTATCATTACTTTTGGCTATTTATCTGAAGTTTGTCTGTGCTTCATACGTAAGCAAAAATGAACATGTTTTCGGCAGGCTGCATTTTTCCAACATTTTTCGCACCATGCATCAACACTGGGATGCCTTGAAAGCGCTGAACTAAGCTCAAAATTTCTATGCTTTTCACAAAACGGTGAATAATTGAAAACTCATTGTGAAGTAGAATATCGCACTCAATCGTGATATATGGCTAGGTGAGTGGTGGAAGCAGCTTGTCAACTGTAAGCTGTAAGGTTTGCAGCAGAGACTGCTGTTTGATACGCACCGTTTGACGTGTGTGAATATTCTGATTACAAACCATTACGTCATGTTTCCAAATCCTTTAAAAGCGACTGAGTTGTTTCACTCAATGTCAATCACTAAAACACACACTGATAATAAATATCTCCGTCCCGAAAAGTGGACCGTCAACCAACGCACCAGCGGACAACAAACTGATTCGAAATTCAAAGGCCTTGCGTGGCAAGTCTTCAGAAGCTCCCACATGAATGCTTCGATCACGCTCCCGCGTTGGATGTGCGCCCACTGCCTTTTGAGTCGAAGGCTCCGGTTAGGGTTCCCAAAGAAAAATCCGTTCGTCGCTGTAGACAAGGGCGAAGTATGCGGTGCTCCAAAGCCTTAGATGCGCATTTGGAATACCATCGTTCTCATCTATCCACTTCCTCTTCTCACTCCCAAATTTTAAGAGATGCATGCGGTTTGCGCCGCCCATGGGATATCATTCAGCGTTCAACTAATGAAGTTGACCACTCAGAGTCTATCAGATTTTTGAAACAAATATTTCCTTTTCACTTGATCGTATGTAATTTCCGCAAACTCTGCAAGATTGGTTAACAAGCTGCCTTATCTAGAACCCTTGAAACATTCCATTTCGATGTATGCTGTGCCTCCAAAACATACATGCAAGACCGTGCTTCAGTCATCTCCATCCGCGCGCCAGATCCAGCCTCATCGTCAAGCTTCATTGTCCGTGTATCAGGCGATTCGTCATCCGAAGCTCGCGGTGTTGCCGGTGTTGGAATTGCGCAAGGACCTGTCCCAACCACCCCGAAGTGTTCGGTCAACGGACATCGTGATAGTCGCTGGAGACTTCAATGCTAGAATGAGATTCCTAGACGAATCGTAAGGCTACTTGGTGGTTCACATGCAGTTCCAGTGAAGCGAACTGACAGCGGAGAGCACTTCCAGTTTCGCACTGACCACAGACTGTTTCTGCCAAGCACCAACTTCTCGCACAAGAAACGACGCTGCCTTACACGGAGACCACCGATCACTTCACAGAGCTGGACCCGAATCGACGACACTGCCATCAACCACCACTGGCGTGAATCTGTTGAGGACTGCCCCTCTTACTGGTTAACACCCGTGTACACGGACCATGGTCTACTACGAGCAATATTCTCCCTAGGCCTGATAAACAATCGCAGAAAAGCCACCGGAAAAGGATGGCCACAATACATTATCAGTAACGGTTGCAAATGGGCCATCGAAGCGGAACTATCAGCTCAACCATCACCCGGAGAACTCAGTGATCAGTGAACGACAATCAAGGAAGCGATTCAAACGTCGATCAAAACAACGGCAAATTCTGGCGCACGATCAACTAAACAGCGATGAATCTCCCCCACCTCATTTGCCTTGCTGGACACTCGCAAAACCATTCCTTCGAATTCGAAATACGACAAAGCGCTCAAATCCTTTCAACTCCAGCTCATCGAGAGTGTGAGGAATGACCGCAAAAGATGTTTGGTAGGGAATTGTAGAGAGATGGAGAAGGCTGCGGCTATCGGTAATAGTCACAATCGTTTTCTTTTAGAAGTACGGGTCCAAAGAGAATAGGCGTGAGGTAATTGAGCAGTCTGATGGCACACTGACACAAATTCAGGAACGTTGGGCTGGACATTTTAAAGTACAGATCAGATAGTCTCCGTCGATACAATACCTCCCCCTACCCGCTTCAACTGCGCACCTCAAATGGAGGTTACCCGAACAAAATGGTTATCCCAAACGCATAAGACTTCCGGCCCCGACGGGCTGTCCCCATCGGTTTTCAAGAATGCAGTTAACAAAACTTCTGGGCTCAGTGTGGGAGAGGGAAGAGGTTCCAACGAAATAGTGTGAATCGGTGATCATACCGATTTACAGATCCTCTTGTGAAAAACACAGAGGAACTTGTTTAATCAACATCTCTAAACTTCCCGTTGGTATTATACTCCGTTGATTGTCTGCCGCAAGGGAAAGGTGTACGTGTGAGAACTAGGTAAGTTTCAGACCTGTTCGAAGTTGTATCTAACACATCTTCACTCTTCTTCAAATTCTAGAACACAGACACTCCTTTCGTAGACCCATCGTTTCTACCTACCTCGATCTGAAAGTGGCTTCGACTCAGTCGATCACTCTAAACTCTGGCGCTGCCTTTCCCTGAACGGTGTGCCCGAGATAGCTTTATACTAACTACCGAAGTCCAATCGAAGGTTACGGCACTTTTCGTCCGAGTTCACCACGGGAAGTGGTATTCCACGGGGCTTCCCTCCCTCTCTCCGTTTCTATTCAAATTCGTGATAGATTTATTTCTGGAAACAGACCTATCCTAGCGGTTTACTCCCAGGTGGCATACTGTATGATCTAGAATATGCCGACGACATTGTGCTACTAAGTGAAGATCCAGATAAGTTTGCAAGCTTTTCTGGATAGCTAAAGTGCTAGCGTAGCCATGTTCGGTATGCGTTTTGCACCTTCAAAGTGTAAAATGTTGTTACAAGATTGGGTTAGTCCAGCCCCTAACCTCAGTCTGACTGGGGAGGTAGTAAAGGAAAGGGACACGTTTTGCTATCTTCGAAGCTATATCTCACATGGCGGATGCATCACATATGATGTGTCGGCGCGCATACAAAATGCTCGATTGACATTCACCAACTTGAGACATCTGTGGCACCGTTACGAAGTCCGGTTGTCTGTGAAGGGCCGAGTATGTGCTGCAGTAGTTTGACCAGTGCTGTTTTACGGTGCGGAGACTTGGCCATAATGGGAACAGGATGAAAATAGATTGTCCATGTTCAAACTCCGCTGTCTACTTCGCATTACATGAGTCTGGTAGGGTAACCGGACGAGTAATGCTGAGGTTAGTTAGGCGTAGAGTTTTAGGTAGTTGCGGTCGTTCACTGGTGTAGGTGATCGACCTCCATATAATACGCTGACTGAGCATGTATTACGCATGACATCAAATTTTGCCGTGGCGAGCGATATTTGACGAGACAGGTATCGGTTGGAAAAAGGTCAAGGATGGTCAAACAAAGACCTGGCATGAGGGTATAAAAACCCTAACCAGAAGGCTAGGTCACATTAGTCTCGTTAAGGTCCCTGGCTGGAACCCCGAGATGATATTCACCGATGGTCAGAGATACTGAGTGATATGGTTGAGTGTCGCAAACAGTGGCGCTCGTGCATTTACTCATTATTCTACTAACACCATTCTATATGAAATCTCCATCTACCGCTTGAATTTCCTTTCACCATTCCGATCTTTATTCTGTTATTTCATGTAAATGGGCAACCGAAAGCCAGTAACCAAAACCGACGCACAAAATTACATGGTTAATGATAGTGAAAACTCAAACTGCATTGATTTAATTGAGTGCCCACTCACTACCTACACGTACATTAGTCACATCTGATTGGGTGACTTACACTTCCCACGCTTCCTTAAATATTTGCTTTCACAAACTGACATAGAGGCTCGAAAACATTTACAAATGTGATGAAGGGGAAATATGGGTCTCAAAGAAGTATAATTTCATAGCAATCGGTTGATTGTCTTTATTCCGTTCGTAAATAAATCAAAACCAATCTTACAAGCAATCTTGCTTATTTATAAATAAAAGGCTTTCCCCCAGTGATTTCCATTGGAAGGAAACTGAGAACTGGTTTCTCTTTCACTGGGGTCATAAGCTCCATTATATGCATAACACATTATGATGTGTATGACGCTTAAACATGATGTTTCAAGCTTTTATTCGTAATTCACCTCCCTACCTACTTATCTGACAACATACATTATTGGTGAATTTTGATGTGAAAGAATTCCGATCAGGTTGAGCTTGGTCTTTCCTCACACAATCAGCGCACATACATATTGATTTGATTAGTGTCGCCTAGGGCAAGTGAAGTCTGAAGTACTTAAATACGGTGGAACTGTTTATGATAATCTACAAAGAGCACTGGACAGCTGTTTCGTCCTGTCTCGGACTCGTCAGTAGTGCGTAACGTTTTCTGACCCTCTCAGGACTCGAAACGCGAACATTTGGATAGAGACTTCAAATCCTAACCCTGGTGCCTGAGGAAAACCGAGGGAGCTAATCCAAACATTCACCACCTGTGAGTCAGAAGTAANTAAGCCACTCGTCGAAATAAGAACATTAAACGTAGGCGCATACATTTTCGGTGAGCTCCTCAAGATAATACAGTCACATTTACGTAAGAAAATGGCGGCAGAGCGTTTTGTTGGGGTTAAACCGTGGAGGTTAAATAAATATGACAAGTGGATGAGGTGGGGACACGTTTGCGATCAGTGCTTCTCTTCACATCAGTAGGGGTTACGTGGGCGTTGATACCTGATTAGGGTCATCACCAAGCTGAGGCGTACTGCTGTCGTCTTTCGGTCAGGGAAGTTTGAGTGCCTGAACAAGTATTTTCTGAGCACAAAATTATGCCTTCAACAAGTGAATGAAAACTGTCTCGGCTACTCACAGCGTTTCAATGCGAACGGCCTTAAATTTGTCTTAGGGACTCCACAAATGATGGCGAAATTCAAATTAACACCCTAGGTCCATTCTAGGTCCACTATCGACTAAACGGGGGCAACAATCGAACTGGAAATAATTCCAATTCCTCCATGGCTAAGCCACGTGGTTTGATATTGATGGTGATGCGTTTAGATACCTGCCTTGTCCTCCATTTTGGCCTCAACACAACGCCATTTCTTGCATATGAATAATCGTCTTAGCTTGAGAAGGAGCTCACCGAAAACATGTTCACCTACGAGCTGTGTTCCAAATTATAAAACTACGAATCGGATAATTACAAGGGTGCTTGAATGATGGAAACGATCACTCAAACATATTAGACAGGTTCTTCAATCAAATCTTCTCAATGTTTCAAGAACGTAAGAGTTCGGCATTTTTGTAAGCCCGTTTTTACTAACCAGGGCTCCTTTTGAGACTCCGCAATATGAAAGACCTCCATACAAAAACACACACACAACTTGATCACACGTGACGATCAGTAAATTCTGCCGATAGGGTACTATAACTAGACTGCAAGAGCCATAAACCAATTCCTTTG